CAGCCGCCGCGCGCGGCCAGCCACGCGGCCGCCGCGTCCCTGTGGGCCGAGAGCCGAGCAAGGTGCAGCAAATGTGTGAAAGCAAGGGTGGAGCGGCGCGCCGCGAGCATTGCATTGTTGCTGAGGCGCAGCGTGCTGCATAATCTCGGCTCACCAGTGCTTTCCACACACAGGCAGTCAGCACCCCCGATTGCGACGCCAGTGGGGCCCCATACACCTTCGCCCCCGCACCTCGCGGCGCCTGCAGACGGGATCCTATTGCCCGCCTCCAGGCTGGCATTCGCCGCGGGCGGCCGCGCCGCGGCGAGGCGGTCCCGGGGCTCGTCGGGGCTCACCGCGCGGAGCTCCGACGCCGGAAAGGAGAACGACGGGACGCCGCGCCGCCGCAGCAGCCCCGCGGCGGCGGGCAGCCGCGCCTGCTGCGCCTGCGGCGTGAACAACAGCAAACGACGTTGCGGATCGGACAGCGTTTTTGTTCCAAGAGCCCTTTCGGGCCCTGTGCAAACAAGTAAAGGGTTCAAGACTCAGCGTCGAGCAGCACAGCGCAACGGACACGCGTCCAGTCCAACATGGAGCAGCTGGCCCTCAAGAGTGGCCCCGCACCTCCAGCACCGCCAACTCCAGCCGGTCGTCTTGGAAAGCCGCCTCGGCCCCGCCACACGGCCCCTCTCGCGGACCCGCCGCCAGCCACGCTTCTCCCTCAGCCGTCCCGCTGTCGCCGTTGCCGCCGCCACCATCTTGGGGCCCCACGTCTCCTGGGCTGTCGCCGCAGCTGCAGGGCGCTAGGCCGCCGCCGCCGCCGCCGTCGCCGTCACACTGCTGCGGTGGCCAACCCATCAGCGCAATCTCGTCGGCTACCGCCGCAACCGCGGCCGCCGGCCGCAGCCCAAAGCGCACGCAGGCGCGGTCGGAGCGGCAGACGGCGACGACGGCCACAGCCGGCCAGGCGCGGGGGCTGGGCAGCTGCCAAAGCCGCGGGGCGGCGCGCTCTGCGCGGTCCTGCGGGGGCGGGTGCAAACAGTATGTAAACCCTTAACCGACAGCTGCGTGCGCTTGCTGCTGAGCTGCCTTTGAATCGGGTGGAAGCTGCTGGCGGCCCGTGCGCATGGGGGACCCTGCAGCGGCCTTGCGGCCGCAGAGGGGGCGCCGGGCGCCAGCCGGCGTGGCGCGGCACGCCCCGCACCTGCAGCGCGCGGCTGGCGGCGCTGGCGAGAGCCTCGGGGTCGGGCGTGCGCAGGAGGGGCCTCAGGCTGTATGTCGGGGCGCACACCGGGAAGTGGCGGCTGCGCTTCAGGTCCAGGTGGCACGCGAACGCCTGCGGCAGGGCGCCGGCGAGCGGCGATGATCATTGGCTATTTTATTGACCAAAATCTCTCACTTACCAAGCGTACTTCGGTGTAATGAGTCAACACAGCACAAGGAACAGCTGCGCCCCGGCTGGCGCCCGGCCCCCGCTGCGGCCGCCGGTCGGTCGAACCAGTCGGTCAAACCGGTCGGTCAAACCAATTGCGAAAGCATGGGGCGCCCACACCTGCGGCGGGATTCGCAGGGCCTCCGCCATGGCGCGCCTCACGCGGCGCAGCACGGGCCCGTCATCTGAGAAGCCCGGCCACAGCTCGGGGCGCTCTGGGGACGTCGGCACGGGCGGAGGGCGGCGGCGTCGTCACCGGTTGGGGCGCCGCACTTGCTGGCCACGTGTGACGCCAGACACACCGTGCCCCTTGCTCGGCCCAAATGTGCCGCATGGCGTTTGCATACTCTCGCCCGCGCTGCCAACAAGCATAATATGACGCCACACCTGCCTTAGCGCACAGCCTGCGGCATGCCCGCGAGGCCGAGCAGAGAGCGGCGCGGTCGGTGAGGGCCAGAACCTCCAGCAAGAGATGATCTGGCAGCTCCAGCAGGGTTGTTGCGCCGTCCGCGCCGCCGCCGCTGGCGTCGCTGCTGATGACATGGCCGCCAAAGTCACACGATCCGGGCGGCGCGCCGCCGCCGCCGCTGCCGCTCGCCATGCTGCTGGCGGCGCGGTCTCCGCCGCCAGCGCAGTCGTCTGCCATCGGCCGGGAGCTTTTATGGTCGAGTGGGGCGGGGTGATGCTCCCTAACTCTGCGACTTTGAGCTGCAATGCTGCGCCTTGTCTGGCGGCAAGCGTCGCCTAGCGCCACCAACGCTGAAATGCGGCGCTTCCGCTACAGCGCCGCGTGAGCATGCCTCGCTGGCCAGGTGTGAGTGCAGGTCAGCAGTGCTGCACCGTGCGCTCCAACTGACGAGACGCAGTGGTGATGGATTTTTAGCTATGCCGACTACCAATGACATACGGTACTTCGATCCAACATAGATTGTGGAAGCTGCAGGTCAGGCATGATGCCGTAGTCACCTGTCCCATACTTGGCAACAGGCGTACTCCGCAGTCAGCCACTGCTCGCCTCAACGATCTACGTGCAAAACAAGCTACATCTCAAGCAACAGCACCATGGCTGATCGGTCGCTGTCTCGCCAGGATTCCAAGAGCGGGAAGGAGCGCTTCAAAATAATCGGACAGGTTATTATGGCCATGCAGAGGTTCCAGGGTGAGCGGCATGCACTTTGGCTCGGGGGGAAGGGTGGAGGGAAGGCCGGCACACCGGACCTCACGGCTTGCTGTCTCTGAACCCACACTCGCAGCCTCCATCAACCCCACCTACAACTACGGCAAGGCGGATGCCACAGCCGACCAGGACGCGGTGAGACCCGGGATGGCCATGGCCCGAGAGCCCTCCTTTCCGCTTGGGTCTCGGACTGAGGCAGCATGACAGGATCTTGGGACGTGCGGTTGGCAGGCAGACAAGCATGCAGGCGGCACCAGTCGTATGTGGCGCACCGCCTGATGCGGCGCGTCCGCGGCATCCATCCAGCCTCAGTGCCAGCATCATGCCTCACGGGGAGCGACCCTACCTGCCATCGCCCCCACTACAGCTCACACGCACATAACTTACTGCCAAACTAAACAGCCCTCCCGAAATTTGTCTGTACTCCCACTGCTCCACAGGCCCTGCGTGCTGCTCACGCGCACAAGACGACCTTGGGCCGCACTGAGTCCCGTGATCGCACCGCCAGCGGCCGCACCATCAGCGGCCGCCCGACCAGCGCTGGGCAGGCGCATGGTCACAAAGGCCACCTGCTGTTCCGGCCGCTCCCGGAGATCCCAGCGGAGGCCAAGTAGGCTGGCCGGCACATTGACCTGGGCAGCTTGGGGGGCACCGTTATTTCCACTTGAGAACCAACGAAGGTTGCGACCCCGTGCAGCCGAGGCGCGTGGGGCTTAGGACTTGGCGGTGCAACGCAAACGGCGCAAGGAGCATGGTTCTTGGCCCGGCGCCGTTGGCGGCGGCGGCGGCGGCAGCAGTCGCCACGTGGAGCGTCCTCTTGCTCTTGCGCTGCAGAAGCGCGCGCGGCAGGTCTTCCTGCTCCCTGCTGCGCTTGGTGCTGCCTCTGCCACGGCACCGGTGTAGCAGCTTGACAAGCGCGCGCGCTGCGGCCGGGCGCACTGCGTCCTTTTCAGAACCATCGCAGCGCTCCTGCATCCGTCACTTTCCCTGCGACTTTGCATACTGTCTTCGTGCATCAGCCCCCCGATAAGAACATGCACCCCGGGTGCGCCCGCCCGAACGGGCTGGGCGGTGGGTGCCGACTCCACATCACTAACATCTTTGCGGGGTGCCAAACCCCTATATTTCAGCCGTGGAGCTGCGCCTTGTTGCTCGCTGATCGCCTCCGTGCCGTGTCTGGCGCTCCCTGGGCATGGCGCGAGCAGGTGGTGTCTACTATTTGTTCCGTTGAAGGCGTGGCGAGCGCGTCGTGGCCTCCTTTGCGGGGCTCCGCTCCCACTGCCGCACCCCTCACCTGCAGGCGCCACCTGTGGGCTTGCTGATCCCATCCCATGTGGTGCGGCGGTGATCCACAGGCTGCGTGTACCAAATGCTGGTATGCCACGCATGGCCCTTGCGCCTGCATATCACTGATGTCATACCATCGCCCTGTAGTAATTTCTTGCTTGTTGCCGTACTTTGACGGATGGCACAGCCGTGACAGCGCGGTCGACAGGAGTCTGGCAGCGGTGGGGGTGCGCAAGCAGGGTAGGTCTGGTCACGCTGGTGTACGTTGAGGTGTCGGCGTACGTTGAAGCTGCGGGCAAAGTCAGTGACTCCACATGGGCGGTGAAGTGAGGACGGGATTGTCGGCAGCGGCTGCCTTATCTTATAGCAAGGCCTGGCGGTGGCCAGCGAAAGGCTGTGGTGTCAACCAATATCTGGGAGACACGATGTAGACAGTCTTGGACGATTGCGCCCAGCTGCAAAGTACTTTTCAGTTTGTAGTTGCCAGCAAACCTCTCGTTGTTGCCCTGCACGCGTCAGGAAGACGCTGGAAGCTGGACCAGAGAGCGCGCCAGAGGCGGACGCGATCCCCATAGATCTGAGTGGTGGTGATGGTGACGTCGGCCTGTAACAGGGCCGCTGGATTCGCATGTGCACGGGGCAGTGGCCGCCGTCTCGGGGTGGTTGCGCAAAGCGCGAGCAGCGAACAGCCGGGGGCTGTTCCAGTGTCGCGATCCAGAGCCCGGCCGCGCTAGACAGCAGTCTGCGATTATGGTGTCGCCTCTTGCACGGGTTGCAACGCTCAGAGCCCTCCGGCAAGCCAAACGAGCCAGCACACTCCGCTGGAAGACTCTGGAAGGCGGACCCGTGGCGAAGCTGGCATACGTGCGGGCGCGAAGGAACGCTACAAATGCGCGCGCGCCCTGTAGCTCTTCATACTTACCTGACCCGAGTGTGGTGGTGATCATGTAGGCCACCCGCTCGTCGCAGGCTGCCCACCTTGCACGTCGTGGGTGCCTGTGGCGGGAGGCTCCTACGGGGGTGCTCCAGGGTTGAATTTCTGGCAGGCTGAGGCCAGCGCTTGCGCTCCTCGGCTCCTCCAAACTCCCCGTGTTCAACGCACGCGGGCTCGGGCATAGCAGGTGGGCAGAGAGGCATGATTGAGAGCAACGGCGTGAGATCCCTGCAGCAGCACCGCCCGCACCGTTCGTCAGAGCGACCTGCACACCCCCAAGGACGCCCATAGCGCCTCAGTGTTCTGATCGTAGGGCCCTCCAGGTTCTGTGCGGTGGCAGTGCCAGATCATAGCCAGCACCCCGTCTGTCACGCGTCTGCCTGCCCTCAGCCCAACGGCTTTTCAACATGCACTTGAGTCTCCTTACGATCTCTAGCGCTGGCAGCAGGTCAGACGCACGCGCTGGAGGCAGCGGCGGTGGCTGCAGCAGCACCGCGCTGGTTGCTGCGCATCCCGAGCAAATGCGCCAGCTGATCCTTCTACCTGACCATACATTGCATCCACACTTGCTCATTGTGCAGTAGGGAAGTCGTGTCTGTGGGCTGCACCCTGCGAAGTGCAACAGAACGGGAAGCCTCCGCAACCAACCACTCGGCAAACAGTACAGCAGGTCTTCTGTGCGCCAGCAAAGGGCTCTGGCGTGTGCAAGCCAGTCCTTGACCAGAAATCTTAGCAGCATCCCAGCATTCCGTGTTCTGGCCTGTACAGGAAGTCTTGTGCACCGTCTTTGCATTGCTGAGCTGTCATCATTGCTGGGCTGGGCTGCTGACTACGCAGCTCGATTGTGGCCACACCATGGTGCGCCTCCTGGAGTGCCTCCAGCAGACGCAACACAAGTAACACATCGCCACATCTGCGGGACTTTACGAATGATTGCATGATGACAATTGACCCTGTTTGTGCTGCGTCTGAGCCAACTGCTGGAGAGGCCTGGACCTTGCGGATGGGACGGATCACGGATTGACCGCAGGACTGCCTTTCACATTGAGCGGCATCCCGTGCATACGACTTCCCAGGGCGCGCGATTCCAGCACAAAGCATCTGGATGTCATACAATCGTCACCTTTGCTGGCGCCTTGACTTTGCTGATCACTCTGGCCTACTGTTGTCATGCACAATGGGCGCCGGTGCGCAACGGGCGCCGGCCCGCTGTCGCCAAGCAACCCAATGCAGTGCGACCATGACCGATTCCCTCCCCTGGGGACGGCGGACGTGCGGATGAGCCCGCCCGTCATACATACTATCATGATCATTTGCACATGCGCCTTGCTCGCCTTGACAAGCTGTGCAGCTGTAATGCGATGCCTGCAGCTGCCATGGAGCCAAGGGTGGTGCTTTCATAGCCCGAGAACTTAAGCAGCGCCAGCGACAGCCGCCTGCAGCTTGCGCACACCTGCATGGCTTGCGAGCACCCCTGGCCCCCGGCTGGTGAGGCCACGCAGGCGGGGCAGCGCCCATTAGGCCATGTTCGGAACGGATTATTGCGTGGTTCCTTCCGCCCTTCCCCCGCCATCGCAGCAGTACAGACCTTGACGGAACGGCCGAACATGCTTTGCTTGGTTGCCCTGCGCACTTGAACCTGCACGCCACGCCGTACGGCTCACGCGTGCTTTGCGCCATGTTTGCCAACCTGCCCACACAAGCCTGCGTTCGCGTTTGTGTGAACGGGCAGACCAGCAGCGCTCACTGGGGGCTGTCGTGCTTGCCTGCTTTGGACGCCGCGGACGGCAGCCACCACAATCCATGTGACACACTTTCGATGCTTCACAGTGCAACTTTATGAGCCTGGGTGGCTCCAAAAGGTTTGTCATACAGTAACGGCAGGCAGGGACGACCAACTGACTGACAACTAGGCGCAACACAGCTGCGGCGGACGTACATACGCATGGTCAAACTGATCTTAGCTTAAGATTGAGAAAACAGTCATTGCCAGCAGCACAATGATATGAATGCTTGATATCTTCTACTTCAGCCGCGCAATATGTTTTGATACAACCTGCGGCAGGCTATGCGTGCGTGGACTTGGGGCCATGACGACGATCAACACGTTATGCCGCAACAGAGGGGAGCGCACGCTGGCCGCTCGCAGCTGTACGCACACTCCTACCCAGCACGAGCACCAGAGTGGAATTGTAGATTGTTGATGTTAGGTCGGTACCATCGACATGGCATCCGCACTGCTGCAACATCACAGTAGTCGCTCACTGAGTGCCACGACATGTCAACCACCCTCAACTGACGTGCCTGGCAGCCCACCATCTTCTTTTGATTCCTTGATGGCCTCCACTCAGAATTTTTGATAGGATAAGGCATTTTCATCCCAACAATCATTGCGACAGCACCAAAGGCGGCCTTGCCGCTGCCAGTCTGACGCTGCGAGCCTGCGCCAGACAGGGGCTGGCGGCTGAAGACCGGAAGTCAGTGCAGTCAAGTGGCTTATTTGAACAAATCCATTTGGGATGCGTGCATACTAGGCTCTCATTCACGCATTGTTCCTCGTCCTTCACTGTTTCTTTTCCTCTCGTTGCTGTGAACCTCGGAAACCCTCAGTGAGCATAGCTCGTCGTCACAAGGCGTGCCCGCTCTGACACGCATACTAAACGACCTGATGAGATCCATTTGTGCTAGTAGCCTCGCAGCGGTGGCCTTAGCCGCCTGGCTGCTGGCTTTTCCCGTGGCCGCCGCCGGCGACGAGGGCGGCTGGACGCACGGGCGCGTCACATTCTAGTACGTGTTGTGCAGCTTCGTGTGGGAAGTCCATGTTGAAGACTTACAAAAACCCCGCACCTGCTGCTGCGCTGCAGCTGTTGCTACTCCTGTCTGACCCACAGCAGACTGACTC